AGTTTATTCTCTATCTCTATCATAATTTAGGACAGCTCCTCCATTTCACATGTTTGTTCATCCATGCCTTTTTATTCTCAATATTCTTTCTCCTTCATAATTGTTAGCAAGTGTCTCTAATTAGTAAGAAATTAACTCAGCTAATTTACGCCTGGCTTAAATTTACAACAATTAACTCTTAAGTAGCTTCAGCGCTGTTACTAGTACTATTTCTGGGTAGATTTGTGGTGTGTTGTGGAGAAAGTTGGTTTGCTTTGATTGTGACTGTGATTGTATAGAGAAAGATGGGTTTGCTGTGATTGATTGTATTCTTTCAGATTTTACAACCCTCTTCAATCTTTCTGACTTTATTTTCTTAATTTTTCTTTTGATGAGCTTGGATTGTGTCGATTCCCTGTTTGGACTATTTTGTGCAATTCTACTGGCATCCAACCTTGAACTTCTTTTTTTAAATAAATAAATAAATAAATTGTGGGATTTGACTTTCATCTTCTATTTTTCTGAATTAATTGCAGGGTTTGAGTTTGATCATGTCACTTGAATCTTTCGCGTTGAATGGATTTGCAAGTGCAGCCGGTAATATTGTATCGGATGGTATTGAAGGACTTGTGAGTTTTGCGTCCGGCAAACTGCTAAGGACTTCTGAGCATGACTATGGGACATTGAAAAGGGCAGCAGCATTGCTTCAGGCTCAAAGAGATGATAATGAGCGGAGAGTCCAGCAAAATAAAACAAAAACAACCTCTAGTTATTACAATCAGTGGCTCAACAGTGTGATGATTATTCTTGAAGAGGTGGAAACATTAAAGGCTCAATATGAGCAAGAGAGGAATCTGTTGTCAAATGTTGTGAACAGATCACATATTTTTGAGAGAGTGCAGCAGATATCCCAAGAAGTCCATGTTCTTTTAAAACATGGACAATTTCAAGCAGGTTTTCTGGTTGATAAACCTCCAGATCCCATTGTGAAGATGAGTCCACCTGATATCAAGATGTTTCATACACTTCAAGAACAACTGGAAAAGATCCTTCAGTTTCTAAGTACAGACAGGGTAAATGCAATTGGTATTTGGGGGCCACTAGGGGTTGGGAAGTCCACAATAATGCAGAATTTG